CTTGAATTGTAAACTTGTACACATATCTTAGCGCAGGTTTTATCTACTAAAAAACATGTTTGCTAAAACGGTTTAAAAACCATCAGATCCCGACAAAAGCCGATCTTAAATCAGCATTCAAAGGAAAAAAATCAGGGCATGACGAAAACAGAACAAAGGAAAGTTGATCCACAGTGACAGACAGCTGGAGGAGCTGGAACACATTACAGTTAAAGACTAGATCATGGTAAAGATAAAAGTTATTCACAAAAACATCTTAGCCCTTAAGAGAGCTCCGAAAGTAAAGATCTAAGGATGAAGAGTTTCTCACAGAGAAGAAAGAAGGAGAGATTCCAGCTCTATCACAGCCTCATATTAATATCAGATTAAGTAGACTCTTACAGCAGCAGTTACCAGCATGGTGAATAAACAGGAGCACATAAATATAAGAAAAATACACAATATTTTTATAATTAGAGTTCAATTAATTAAATAAAGGGCCAGTGATCTTTGATCAGAGGGCCCAGAGGGCGACTGGCAAATTTAACTTAATGTCAACCCCTGCTGTCTTCTTTACTTCCTGTTGCTGAACCACTGAACAGTCAGAAACTGTAGTTGGTTTACTGACGCTCCCCCTCAAATTAAAAACGTTTTTCTGATTCTGAATCTTAATCAGGTCGTCTGTGAATTAACACAAGTATACACACGTGTCTTTGTTAACTTTAAAGACAGGTCAGCAGATTGTTCCTTCAAAATAAAAGACAGACTTCTCCTAAAGTAAAGACAGAGACCCTTTCCGAATTGCCACAGTTCAGTAGTCTTTTCAGTATGGAGTTTCAGTATACTGAACTTTCGTGGTCATTCAGTATGCATTCTTTGGGTCCACCTCAGTATACTGAACATTTCAGTATGGATACTAACTTCCGGGTTTCATGCAGTATGGATCGGATGCGTGCTTTCAGGAATTGAGTTGTATTTTACCACCCACAATGCTGTGCAAAATTAAACGTAAATCGTCACTTCACGTCCGCCTCTAAATCAAAACAAACGAGCATGGATTAATTGAATCAATTTTTAATCTAGAGTTAAAGTCCCTACTGAAATCACTACTTTTAATTAACAACAGAAAATATAACAAATGTATACATTATTATAAAACCTTTCCCCCTCTATTTAAATAATGATTTCACTATTTAAATGTCTTTATTGGTTTATTTTACTTTATATTCTGTATATTACCGTCTTTCATTTGTACTTTTCTTTATGAAGGCTACTGTATGTTATTTAGTTATTTAATCTGCCTTTTATTAGATTTACATTGTAATATTGTTTTTGTTTACCTGACTGTATATGCGCATTACTCTTCTTGAATAAAGCTAAACAAAAAAAAAACAGGTGGATGCGGCTGGTTCGGGAAACGTAAATGATGTCACTTCCATACTGAATGAATCAGAAGAAGTAGGCACAAATATCTGCTTACTGTGCGCTACTACTGAACAGTAGGTACTAACAGTATACAGCACAGTATTAATTTCAGCATCTATAGGCAGTGTGTGTGTGTGTGTGTGTGTGTGTGTGTGTGTGTGTGTGTGTGTGTGTGTGTGTGTGTGTGTGTGTGTGTGTGTGTATTAGGGGATCCTCATGATTTCAGGAATCATTCAACAAGATCAATAAACTGAAACTACATTTGATGCCACTCTGTTAAGTTGTTTTCAGAATAACGTGACCCTCAGGTATTTGTGGACAAAGAGAAAGAAAGAGGCACCTACTTGAACTCTGAGGAGTGGTTGTCCAGCAGTCCCAGTTTGTTGAGTTCTTCGTTGATGACATCCATTATGTGCTGAGGGACAGTCCTGTCTTTGAGTCTTTCTCTGAACTTTTCCTCGATAGCTTCTTTGTCTTCTTTTTCCAAACCAAGCTCCTGAAAATGACACAGACAAACATACACTGTTTGAATGGCTCCATTTTTACAGACAGACATTGTTAGGACCAACACATGGTATGGATGTATGAAGGATATGATGGAGACGTCGAACTGTTGTCTGTGCTTTACTGACACACGTCCTTGGTTTGGATGTCTCACTGATATGTAAGTTAGAAGTTTAAAGCCTTGATGGGTTTCATACCTTAAAGGTCACATATTCTTCTCCTCTTCAATCAGTTTAAATAAGTCTCAGAGCTCCTCTAAACATGTGTGTGAAGTTTCTTGTTCTAAATCCACTCTGATCCTGTATTTGATCATGTTCATAAACCCCTCTATTTCAGCCCTGCTCAGAACAGGCTGTTTCTGTGTCTGTACCTTTAAATATGTAAATGAGCTGTGTCTGACCACGCCCCCTCTCTGGAAGGGCTTGGGTGTACTCGGTCTTTCTCGCTCCATGTTCTATTGTTTAAGGTGAGAAGGCAGACTCAGAGGTTCAGAACAAACACCTAGCTGTGGGAGTGTCACCCACCTGGGGGAGGGGTTACTGCCCTTTGTGATGTCATGAAGGGAACATCTCCAAACGGCCCACATTTTCTGAAAAGTGGAGCAGGTAGAAGACGGAGAGGATGGACTTTTCTCTTTACCTTCTTTATGATCTTCAGCTGCTCCTGCAGCAGGTACTTCCTGTGAGTCTGTTTGATCTTCTCTTCCACCTGTGAGCACAGCAGGGAGCCGGATGAATAAAACAGGCAAAGCAGTGAATGGTTGATAGCTTTTATAGGTGTGGTGATGACCTCTGACCTCTCGACCCAGCCTCTGTTGCAGTTTGCTCAGCTCATACTCCTTCTTCAGCAGAGACAGAGCCTTGTAGAGACGCTTTGGGATCTGCAGAGACACAACAGAAAGTTTAAAGGACCCCTGCACACTCAGTGCAGCTTTAATACAGAGACATGAATACAGAAATATGTGTTTGATGTGCGTTAACAATTAACCAACAACTCTGTACTGCAGTCCTTTCTCTTTCAACCAACCTATGAAAACACACAGACACTAAATCTACATCTCCCGTTGGCTGGTGTGCTTCAAGAAAAAGATCCTTTTATATTTGTGGTTCATTGTTGTGGGAGTATATTAGGTTTAGCATACAGCATCTTCCCCAAGCTTTCATGTAGAAAATCATCAAACACTGTGTTCAACAGTCTGCCCCCTCCATCCCCCCTCCTTTAAGCATGCAGAACACTCACATTGATTTCTTCCAAGACATCCTGAAGCTCATGTGACTCTGCTCCCGTCAGAGCTGCCCCCATGTCGCTGAGGTAGATGGGATTATCAACAACTCTCTGACCAGCCTGCATCATCTGGAGGACTGACTCTCTGTCTCACACACACACACACACACACGATGCAGGCTCAGTGTGAACATCAGGCTGTATAATGGAAATAGAAACAGTATGATGGTGTGTGTGGTCAGACAGACTGAGAACACACCTGTAGAGGGGGTTGAGTGCGATGATGTCTCTGATGGTTTTCACGATCTCTGCCGTTAGCGCCTGAAGAACACACAGATCCAGTTTTTTAAGATGGTACTGGTGTTTTTACTGAGAGCATTTGTTTAATGAAATCTGCCACACAAACAGATAGTCACATGGTGAGTCTGGGCTCCATAATGTGATGAAGGTTTGGTACCTTGACCTCCTCGGTGACGGTGAACTGCTCATGCTGAACGTTGTCCACTTCCACCATCAGGATGTTGGACGAGGGCAGAGGCTGAAGTTCTGGTGTCAGATCTACTTCTGAAATCTGAGACACAACAGATTCATAATCACTCCCACTGATGTGAATATCAACAAACCCCACAAATTCTTCTACTGCAATACTGCCTCCATAAACACTACTGTGTCTCTAACCCCGGTGCAGACACATGTCAGTGTGTTCCAAACTCTGTGCAGTAGGGCTGAAATAGTGCAGCACCTTTTGACACTTTAACTCTGAAGGTCACTTTATCCTGCTTCGTTTTAAAAAACACCACAGTCACTTTTTATGCTTCTACAAATGTCTCTCTGTCAACTAATGTAGAGTTTATGTTCCTGTTGGTCTTTACTTGTCATTTTGTGTTTTCATGTTATTTGTCATGTATAGCAGGAATGTTTCAATTCATTTAATTCTGTTTCCCCCTGCTGATCATTTGAGATAATTTAATTGTTGCTCTTTATTTTTCACTGTATTTTCTGATTGGTCATTCTAAGTCATGTGACTCAGTTATGAGACTCTAGTTAGGAGGGGCTTCATTTATTTTCCATGTGGTCGGCCTGCAGCACAAGCCAGCTTTTTCTTTCCTTCCTGCCTGTGTGCCTTGGAAAGCATCCCTTGTAAGTTAATTCGGAAGAACAGATCTTTATATTTATACATACAAACTATTTGATATATTTGATGCATTTTGTATAGTTTAAAGACAGATAATTTACAAACTAAAAATGCTAATGTTTAAGATAGCATCCTTTAATTTGTGCTTGTTTTATTTTGTATTTTTTAGTTTTACAAAGAAAGAAGCTTCATGAGTATGATGACAACAGTAAAGCATTTGAATTTACTTCAGCCTCTCATTTCTCGCGAAGTCTGTAAGCTCTCTGTCAATTTGTCTACAGACACACACATTGAGGACAGAATATTGTTGTTGTTTTATGTAAATTTGTTTACGTGTGAACCACCAACCTGCCAGGTTGTTTGTGGTAACTAGATTACATACAATTGTATTTAAATAATGACAAATGGCTAAAAAGTATTTTTTGTCTTGGGGTTCCTCTTTATAGAAATTTAAGTAACCTTGCAGGAAAATCACCGTGTTCCTACTCACCAACAACTAAACAAGGACCTGGGTAAGTGACAAACTGAAAATAAGAAAACAATTGACCAAACGAAGAAGAAGGGGGAGTTACTGTTGGATTATGCTCGTCCTGCTCCATTTTTCTCAGACTAGAGAGCTTCTGATTGACAGCTTGCACAGGGGGGCTCATGTCACTGACCTTCTCCTCCAGCGTCTCTGTCGGAGAGCCCGGTTGGTCCTTGCGGCTGCGTTTGGCTTTGCGTCTGGGTGAAGGTTTGGGCTCTGCTTCAGTCTCTGAAAACACAGGGGACGCTGCTTCCTCCTCAACCTCCACCTCAAGCTGTTTAGTGATCCGGATTCTGAGAGAGCAGAGCACACACACACACACAGCAGAGGTCTGAACAGCAGAGTATTGCCTTGGGTAACGGACCGTACGACTCCACCACTGAGCCACAGCCGCCTTGTGGTTGATTAGACTCTAAAGATATACAATCTGATGTTCAACCATGCATTAAATCCAAAACACTGGAGCAGCAGAGATGTTATACCTGCGGTGTCCCATGACGATCATCCTCAGCTTGTCTCCCAGGTCCTGCATCTCATGAATCTGAACAAAAGTCCCTGTAGAGTAGACGGCATCCAGAGACTCCACCACGTCAGACTCATTACTGCAAGAGACAGAATCACTGCTTATGACTGAGACAGAGAGGAACAAGGAGCTGCATGTCAGGTTCTAGGGACATTTTGCTGATTACTTTATACTCTCATTTGCTGTATTGACCACAGACTGTAAATATTAATGGACAAAGCCTGAGTGAGGTCTGTTCCTGCAGGGGGCGCTGGAGTCCCATCGATGGCGGTCTCCATGCTGGAAATGCTGTCTCAGTCGAACTTTCAGTCAACCTAACGACAGGCTGAGAGCTGGAGCTGAGGCAGGTTTTAAACCTCCTGACAAACTGTTACACCATGCCCACCTGTCAATCAGATCAGCTACACACCTTATTATGAATAACTCTTATCCTTCATCAAATCAAAACTGATGAGTCATCAAAACATTCACCCCCCCGTACAGTGTGTGTCCATCGAGACATGAGCTAATCACACCTATTTGTTTTTTTGAACCAGGCTGTAAACATGTTAATCTCCACTGTAAAAACAGACTTTTTAGAATGGGTGTGTATGTGACTTAACATCCTGCAGCCAGCCTCTAGTGGACACTCCAGGTACTGCAGGATTTTACACTTCAGCGTTGGCTTCATTTTTCAAGACCGGGGATTTCCACTTTGTTTTGACCCACTACCATGTTAGATCATCAGATTCAGACTCAAAACAGCTTTATTCAAATGGCTGAGATGGTAAATGGACTTGAGCTTATATAGCGCTTTTCTAGTCTTCCAACTACTTAAAGCGCTTTTACACCACATGTCACACCCACCCATTCACACCCTTTCACACACTGATGGTAGTGATCGCTATGTAGTATCATCCATCAGATGATGGATTCATACACCACCACTGAAGCAGCGGGAGCAATTCAGGGTTAAGTGTCTTGCCCAAGGACACAACGGACATGTTGCTCAGCTGGGGATCGAACCCTCAACCTTCTGCTATCGCTCCTATTAACGTGATGTTTTATGAGTCATGTGATCATGTGATGTTTAATATTATCAAATAAAGTTCAAATGCTTTGATGTGAATATTTACAGCATAACTCTAAGTCATGACTTTGTAGGAACACACGTAACAGTCACCTCATTGCTGGAATCAATCATATAATGTTACATGACATTACTTACTGTATGTCTTCTTAAACTGCCTTTTTTAAATTAAAAACTGACTTTATTATCCCACTGTTTAGCCATGTAAACAACGGATCTACACCTAAAGGGAAACACCCAGTGGAGATTCAGGAGCCTGTTGGGCGACCCTCAAACCAGCGTTCATCACCATCATGTCTGCCTCGTCCCAGCGCTCACTCTTCCTACTCTTTTTATCACTTGTGCTTTGTTATTTTCTATTAATATTGCATGCAACGTTCAGCAGGGTAACGAGAGTGAGTGATGTCAGACGGGGCCCCCTTAGGGAGGTTTTCTACTGTCTTGCAGAATTTGCACATTTTGAGCCGCTGCTGTGGTTTAAAGTTTGTCAGCCCTGTCTCACCTGTTGACAAGCAGCGCCTCTGAAACACAGCTTCTTTAGTTTATGATATTTATGATGAATTAAAAATTACCTTCCAAGATGAACACGTGAGAATATAAAGTAATGTATAAAAACAATGTATTATCACTCAACACAACTTCGACATACAAATCCTACACAATATGTTATTTCTGTTTTGTTCTGTTTGTGTCTGTGTGTTAACTTTCTGTGTATCTGTTGTAATACGTCTTCATTGTGAAATATAAAAATAAATATATGAATGTAATGACATTTGAGTTCAAAATAAGTCGAGCTTATTATACCATGCTAAGCTGCTCATAGTCTGAAAGCTAACTCAGGAGCTAACCATTGCGACTGAGCTAACTTTGATTATTTGTTGCAGTGTTTCCCCTAGGTTTACAGCGTTGGGGGGGTGGGGACAAGCTGACATGGCGACACAAACACTTCAAGTAATCTTGGTGTTCATGTGTTACTTTTAATGACAGATGTCCTTTTCTATCTGAAAGGTATGCTTAAATGACTTCTTTCCCTGATTTCCGACTATATCCACTATCCTATCCCTACAATAAAGGCACAAAAAGCCCAAAAACTAATCTTTTTACTTGACCTTAAGGTGGGGCGGGCCGCCCAATATAATGGTAGGGGAAACACTGTGTTGTCATGGTTACACAGCAGCTTGATGTCCAATCACGTTTGGTTCTGATCACAGTTCAAACTTTCTGCGACTGGTTTAGTTACAGAACAAACGATAGTTACCTCTGGTGCAGACTTTACACTAGTGCTGGGTGATTAATCACGTTTTTATTTCATTACGGTTTAGTCTTCACACGATCATCGAGATTAAACGACTACTGTGCTGCACGCCGTGCTGCATGCCGTTTTATCCACAGGTATCGTCATGTGTAGTGAATGTTTCAAAGTGTTTGTTGTTTAGAGTTCAACACCTCAAAAACATACTTTATTCATTTAGATTTATTTATTATCAATAAAAAATTTTACTTTCATTCTGTCATGTGTTGTTTGTTTTTCAGTGTTCAAGTGTTTCAGTTGGATACATGCAGATGTTGTAGAATCGATGAGTAGCCTAATGGTGTTTAATAATCGAGTCATTATCACACTTACTTATCATCTCTCTTCAGGAAGACCCCGGCGTACGGCTGAGCCAGACGAACCTTCCTCCTCAACAGTTCCATCAGCTCTCTGTTCTTAACCTGACAGGAAGTCACACAACAAACACAAACACACTTTAAAAACTCATCACCGCTCTCTGGTCTGAGCATCAGATTGTGTTCCAGCTGTCTGAATGTCATAAGAGCTTTTGAATGTGTGACACACTTTGTTTAATCTACTTTTAAAATGCTCCTCCAACTTCTCTCCACATCCAGACTGTCATGTGATTGCATCATTTCGTGTCCTTGAAACTATCCAGTGGACAGGTCGTGAAACGTTGCATCACCCTCACCTCTATGATCTTAATGAAGCGGGGAAACACCGGGTTTCTGCTCACGGCGATCAGAGGGACATTGGGAAAGACCTCAGGAACCAGCATGGTGGTAAGAGCCGTCATCTGGGGTCCGTTGTACGGCACTCCCCCATCTCCACCAGACTCCTCTCCCCCAGAGCCGGCACTGTCCCCGCCGTCCTCCCCTGAAAAGCCGGCACCGCTGGCCCGGTTCCCGAACATCCTGTCCTGAATCATGTGGGGTCGATAGTAGGGGGTGAGGAAATCTGTCTGGCCGCGGACAGCGACCCCGACCCGCATCCATCGCTGAGGTCTGGTGGACTGCCTGCAGCCAGCTGTCATTGCTGTGAACGGACTGGTAGAGAAGCGGTTGGTGCTGCTGTAGACCCGGGGGGGCTGCAGCCGGCTCAGGGCCGATGTGTCGGTCAAACAGGGGCGACAGCTCCCGGTCCTGAAGACCCCCACTTTAACAAGGGCCGTTTTACTCTGCAGATGTCTTGCTGCTCCGAACATCTTCATGCAGGCGGCCATGTTGATCTCGAGCTTTCTACAGCCTGTGACCATGTGACCGACCTTGTTCCGTCGATGTTTGATGACGTAGTATTAATACATTTTGTAACATGTGTCAAGGCTGCACGTCAAATATTACGTCCACAAATGTAAATGGAATAATAAAACAACAACCAAAACTACAAAAGTTTAACATGTAGATGGAGCACTACAACTGAAAGACAGGAGAGCAGAGAAAACATTAGACTGAAAACCTAAATGTTATTTCATTCTGTTGTACCATACCCCTTGTGTATACTTTGTATATAATATGCATAGTTTGTCTCTTTCTTTATTTTCTTATTTCGTTGTATGTGCTGTCACTTTATCTCAATAAAAGTGAGACAAAGTGATTTTTAATCTCATGGATTAGCTCTATACTTTCCTTGACTTCTGTAAAGCAGTCGACACTGTTGAAGCCCCTTGTGAATGTGTAGGTGTGACCTGTGGTGTAAAAGTGCTTTGAGTAGTCAAAACATTAGAAAAGCACTACACAAGCTCAAGTCCATTAACCGTTTAACATAAGTTACAGTGCCTCCCATTGGAACAGGGACCCTACAGACCCATATAAACAATATTTGTCTTAAAATACAACATTACGCCATTTTGCAGAGTAAACAGATTTATTTGGCCGTGACTTACAAATAAATACTTGACCGACAAAACAGAACTGAAATCTGTCAAATGTTTTTTTTCAGTCATTGTCCTCCTCCTCCTCCGCTTCGTGTGAATCCTCCACCTCCTCCTGCGCAGCCTGCTGTTCTTCTAAAGCTTCTTTCAGGGCCTGCTCCTCCTCCAGTGACGGGTCCAGGGACTCGGTGATCTCTGGTCCACTTGAGTATTCTTTCTGTGGCAGTGGGGGGACAGGTGGGCTGTACCCTTCCCCACCATACTTCAGACCCCATCCAACATAGAAGTTCTCAAACTTCCTGAATAAAGAGACGGCGGGTTGTTTGTGAATTGCACCATTTCCTCTTGTGACAAATCAAACAAGAGGTGAGGATGTTCTTTGTACTTACTTTCCAGTAGCATATGCGTAAGCCCCCGGCCAGAGGTTAGAGCGCAGGACAGCAATCGCATGCTGACTGGTGAGAATGGACGACATCTTTGAGCTCCAGGGAGGCGTATTGAACATTTCTGAGACACAAAGAAAAGAAAAGAAAAACTTAGCTGCCTTTTTAAGTCATGAGGTCATGGGTTCATCACCAAAGTTTAAAACATCTGTGAATGTTATTTAATTATATCATTTGTATGATTATAGAACAAATAGTTGTGTAATAATTGTCTATGTGCTTTCTATGTGGGCATTAGTTTTTATTTATATTTACAAATGCTAACTCAAGACACCTTACAGAAGAGCAGGTAACAGACCGTACATTAACCACCCAACATAGATCCATCATGAGCACTGAGCAACATTTTGTCAAAGTAACAGTGGCAAGGAAAACGTCCTTTAAGAGGCTGAAACCTCGAGCAGAAACAGAGTCATGATGAACAGCCGTCAGCCCAAACTTTGCTGGGATTGGGAAGTGGGATAGAGGGAGATGCAGATGCACTGAATTATAAACCTCTACTCAAGATAAATGAATAAAGAAAATAAAAAAAACCTCAAAGTTAGATTACACAGGTTGGCTTTAAAACAACCTTTATAACAAATCAGCCATGCAAGCTGCTCCATGTGGCTGCATAAAGACAACACAAAGGGGGGACAGAAGTAATTTGTGGTAAGGGCTGTTGAAAGGAGAAGAGACACTTATAGATAAGTTAGAAGCAGCTGGGTGCACATTAAAGGTTGACGGGCGGGGGATGCAGAGCTAACGCATCAAAGCATCTCGACCACCTTGTTTTTGATCACTGTATGTGATATTTAAAAAGTATTTTATTCCCCATCCACACAGAACATTTCATCCTTGGTTATCTTTCAAACCATTAACTGGTTTTTACAGTAAATATGTCCAAAATCAAAGACTGACCTGCATCTTTTGAGAGGGGAGTGAGCAGAGGGGGTCCAACTTCTGGCTCAGCTTCATCGGGCTCCTCTTCCCTCTCCTCTGCTTCTTCCTCCTCAGGAGATTCTTCTTCTGCTTTTACAGACAGGTTGACCCTGGTGCAGCGGCCCTTATCAGAATCAGAATCAGAATCAGAATCTGGGTTTTATTGCCAAATACATTTACACATAAAAGGAATTTGACTTGATGTATTGGTGCTAAACAATTAAAAGGAAATAAAGCAGGACTAGCAACAACTTAAATAATACAGTATAAGAAGATATTACAATATATAAAATAGAATTTAAAAAAGTAAAATATAAAATATAAAAAACACAAAATGTACAAAAGGTGTAATGTAGGAGCTGTGCAGTGGACTATGACAAAACATCTTAGTGTGTGTAACTCCTCACAGAGTGCATGTAAGGAAGAAACATTTTTAAAGTCCAGTGGGCGTTAATGTAACGCATAACAGTTCAGCATTCACATTACTTTGATGTTTTACTGACTGTGGGGCTGATGAGAGTCTGGGTTATGTGGGAGGAGGGGGGGTGAGGGTTAAACAATGTATATTCATTTTGTTTGTATGTTTGTATGTTTCCATGTTTTAGCTGCATCGACCTGCTCTGATCAGACTTGTACCTGCTGGAGGATGTGCTGAACGTGGTGGACCCAGGTGGATAAGGACTCACACATCTCAGGAACTGGAATGCCCTCAAAGTCAGGATTCACTTCGCAGCTGTCTCGGGGCGCCTCTTCCTCCCCATCCCCCTCCTCCTCTCCGGCCTGGAAGAAGCCCTGAGGGCTTACCTGTGATCCAGCAGAGATACGAGCAATCTGCGCCCTGAGATAATTGGCTTCATTGCCGGGGAAAGGTGGGTAGCTCACAACGGGGCGGTCCAACTTTCCAGTGAAGAATTTACGGATTTGGCGTGCGATGGTGATCTGAGCAGGAGTGACTGGAGGGAGCTTCACCCAGGGGAGACCAGGTTCAGTGCACACAAAGTACACATACTTGTTAGCACCTGTTCCTATGACCTCTTTTTGGACTACGGGCGGGGGCTTAAAGGACGACGGGGGCGGCGGATCCACCTGAAGACAAAGTCAAAAGAACTACCATTAGAAAACACTTTTGAGTCATTTCCCTTCAAAATTTTAAGACAAGACAACAATATCAGTTTTTCTAATGCCAAGGTCAGATAAATCAACTGAGGGCATGCAGACAGGAAGTGCGGTTGTTTACATTTCTAAAATCAACCCAAGCATTTCTTACATTTAAACACTGGTGGTGTTGTGGTTCTTGCGGATGTTTTGTAAGGTGTATACTTTTTATACAAAAGAGTTGAGATTGCATTTACAGATCATTTCAACAGGACCAGTAAAACAGAGGTACATTTTACTAAAAGATGACACCATGAGTTTTGAGATATGTGTTTACATTGGTGTTCTCTGCAGTGTGTTTACATCCTGCATGTTGGAGCGGCAGTAGCTCAGTCTGGGACTTGGGTTGGTAACCAGACCAAATCTTGAAGTTGGTCTGGTAGCTGCCTCGAGAGGTGCCAGATCACTTCCTGAGCACTGCTGAAGTGTCATTGAGCAAGGCACCTAACACCCCCACCAGCTCAGGAGCGCTCGCTGTGAGCAGCCCCGTCCAGAGGATCCTGTGTGTGTGTTTCAGTCTGTGTGTGTGTTTCAGTCTGTGTGTGTGTTTCAGTCTGTGTGTGTGTTTCAGCCTGTGTGTGTGTTTCAGCCTGTGTGTGTGTTTCAGTCTGTGTGTGTGTTTCAGTCTGTGTGTGTGTTTCAGTCTGTGTGTGTGTTTCAGTCTGTGTGTGTGTTTCAGCCTGTGTGTGTGTTTCAGTCTGTGTGTGTGTTTCAGCCTGTGTGTGTGTTTCAGCCTGTGTGTGTGTTTCAGCCTGTGTGTGTGTTTCAGTCTGTGTGTGTGTTTCAGCCTGTGTGTGTGTTTCAGTCTGTGTGTGTGTTTCAGTCTGTGTGTGTGTTTCAGTCTGTGTGTGTGTTTCAGTCTGTGTGTGTGTTTCAGCCTGTGTGTGTGTTTCAGCCTGTGTGTGTGTGGCATAACATGCTCTGCCCCTATCAAATAAATGATCATCAATAAGAGAAATAACAGAGTACTTCCTGGTTCCTCACCTCATTCTCCTGGCTCTCTGCCTCTCTCTCCTCTTCCTCAGCTACATCTTCGCTCTGCTCTTCTTCTTCTTCCTCCCCCTCTCGGTACTCAGCTTCAGCGATGATGTAGCTCCTCCCTGTTCCCAGAATCTTGCCCCAGAATCGGCAACGCATCAGTGCCTGCATCTCAACAAGCTGCTTGAGAGCGAGGAAGACCCTCTGCATCTCCTCTCTGCCCAGACCAACCCCGGCCTGCTCCAGGTAGAACCCAATCTCACTCACATTGGGAATAGGTGTGTCCACCTGATGAAGACCCACAAAATCATGATTTTTTTAAATTTATTTTTTATTTTACCTTTATTTTACCAGGCAAGAATTGCTTGAGATCAAATGACCTCTTTTTCGAGCAAGGCCTGGCCAAATGAACCTGATATAACATCAACAACATGTTTGTCTTCTTTTTAAGATGAAAGGATATGTGGGTCAACTGCATCAATGAAACATCATATCCTTTAAGTCATAATTTGTCAGCAGTAAGTAGTAAAATCATTTTGCCTTTATAAAATAGGATATATGGTCAAACTGATGAAATTACATGTGTCAAATGGCTACTTCATACCAAAAAAAAACATTACAATCAAACATACCACTGTAAAGCCAGAATCCCCCCACCCCTGATCCCTGGAGATCACAGAAACAAAGTTTGCCGTGTAGGTATGACCATTACCAGTTCCTCCTCCTGATCCGTCTCTTCTGGTTGAGTAAACAGCAGCCGCTGCTGCTCAGCCAGCAGCTCAGCGGCTGTAGTCTGTGGAAGGTCTCTCAGGGTGCTCTGCTTGGGTTCAAACAATCCCCGTTTCACATCAAGGCTCATATCCTCGCATACATCCACCACATTCTGTGGACGCTCATCCATCACCTTCATCAGCAGCCGAGTGAGGTGGTCATAGCTGGAACATTACAGACCATCATCACTTTCAAATAAAAGCCTGTTGCTACTCCTAAAGATGCTGACTCAGTATTTATTCACACAAATACGCTCATAAGTACAATACCAATTTAATAAGATAGAAAACAGATATTTTACTTAGAAAAAAACATTATTGTTGGTTTAAGTACGTATTACATGAATGTATTCATCTTGATCATTTTGTGGATAGATCAAATACTTCTGTCAAACATCTAAGGGTAATTCTTTTAGGTCTGTGAGGCTGTAATACATAAAGATACCTCACAGCAGCAGAGTTATATTTGGACTGGAGCCAAGAGTCTGTTGTGAGCTGAAAAGGAAATGTGACTCTGAGACTGAATGTCTGACATTTACAAGTCAAGCTAATGTCATCTTTATAGCCTATTAGTGATGTACCCAAACAGGAAAGCAGAATATCAGCAACACCGTGAAGATGAAAACTTTATCAGCCATGTGTGTTTCTGTGTTGTCTGACCACGGCTGTTCACAGTCTGTTTCACCATTTCATTATTGAACATTTAATACAGAAACAAACCCCACCTAACAGCTGGTGACAAAAACACTTTTCTCTGTTAATGTTTGGTGTAAAACCAAATGAACAGAAATTAGAGAAAGTGCTGGCAATCAAAGTCAAAGTCAAATTTATTGTCAATTTCAAAATATGCCAGACATACAGTGAAATCGAAATTGCGTTTGTCTCCGTCCCACGGTGCAATACAGCCAAAATAAGGTAAAATAGATCAAATAAAATAAGGTAAAATAAGATAAATACTATTTACAGTAATACATTCTAAATAGTGCAAAAGGTACAAAACAAAATGGTAAATAAAAGAAAATTTAAAGAAAACGTAAACTTGAAATGTGCAATATGTGCAATGTGCAGTAACTGAGTGTACTTTTGAATGTTAGCAAGTTTATGTTCTGCACATTAAACTATTCTGGTTGATGTTAATGACAACAAAATAACTCTTAATAACAAGATCAGGGTCTCATGATGACGAGAAATAAGTAAGGACTTTATTAGGTGTCTACATACTGAAGCAGCCATGTCATCTTTGAATCCACATAGCTTTGTAAACTGACAGATGGATGGAAACCTGTTTCTTGGAACAGGATAATTATCTGATTAGCAAACCTGTTGTAAGTTGTAGGACTGCATCAGGTGTTGTTGATTAGCCTATAGATGAGACATTTATTGAACTAAATGTGGCGACCTTTCTAACTCCCTAAAGACCCCAGTCAGACCTTTATTAGTGTGAATGCTGGAAGCAACTCTTAATTTAAGCCCTTGAAATGAGCATCCAATAGGGAGACATTTTCCCCCGTTTTCTCATTGTCTGACTGCGTTTAAGCAGTATCTTCCACTTGGCCCCATTGAAATGAATGGGAAAATGTTCATGTTTTTCTCAGCCTCATAACTCTGGCTGTGTTCTGCCTAGAGACTCCATTTTTGCTTTAAAATGTTCACACACTTGTCCTCTATTCATATTACTTTCACTTGCTACCTTTTATACTTTTCAAACTGTACCTCCAACTGTTTTGTGATGTTTTTAACTGCTTTCACATTTTAGAGTGAGTGACATCATCGCTAGAGTGGGACAGAGTTCTGAAATAGTTTCAAAATCTCCCGAACAAATTGCTCTCCTGACCACAATCTTCACCCCACACACATAAATTTACCCTCAAAATGTAGGAAAACTTGTCCTCTCTGACATATTGAGTTTTCAGGACAATTGGAGAAAAGCTTTTTCCACTGTGAGCTTCAAAGCGGCAGGTGGTCCAGAGAAATCTCCATCTGGGCTAATGTTAAACTTAGGCCTGACTTCACTGACCACACCTCTTGGGACTAACTTTTCAAATCGCTGTGGTTTCCACATTTCTTGGACCCCAGACATGAAAATCACATCAACGCGTTCGGCCATTTGTCCTCTTGCTCACAAAATCATCATTTATCTTAATTTAAGCCCTTGAAATGAGCACCCAATAGGGAGACGTTTTCCCATTTTTTCTCATTGTGTGTTTCCCTGTATGATTGCCCTGATTGTCCTCACCTGTGGCTCGTTAGTCTCAGCTGTGTCTCATTCCCCTGTGTATTTAGTCTCTGTGTTTCTTCCCTACTTTTACTCCTAATCTTCTACTTCTCCTACTTTTTCTTCATCATCTGCTGATTCTTCTTCATTCAGCAGTGTTTTGCAAAACATTTCAGCCGTCAGCATTCACACGCATTTTCCGCAGGTAAATGCAATTTCTAGTTCAGCTCTGGTTCCCTGACAGGATACTCACAGGTTCATGTTGCTTTTCGTGCTGTTTTTCAACATGAAGGATTTGAAGGAGGCAGCTGCCTGTAGACTCTGTTCACTCCTGTCGTTTCCGTCCGCAGTTTCCATCGTTCCTCACCTTCGTTTAAATATCATTCGTCTCTAAATCTCCTGTGTGAGCACTGACCGTCACTTTGAGATATGACACAGAAGGCTACAAGAAGTGTAAAACGTCTATACAGCTAGCAGTAAACATGTTTTAGTTCATTCGGGGGAAACAGTTAACGGTGTAGAGCCGAACTCCGCTGGTTGCTATGGTTACTGTAACAGAATGGTTGCTAACGTCGAGACTACTCCGCGCCCCCTGGTGGACAAATACAGAACAGTATATATGTCACCATAAAACCAATAAGTGCTTGACGGTTTTGACTCCTCAAGTTTGATCGAATAAATTAAAAAATACCGTGGCCATTTAGCACAAACACTAGAGCAACTTCCCCAAAATGCATCAACAGACTAACATTCAGAACCTCTTTCAGTCTGTGATGAATATGACAGCCATCATTGACAGATATGTGGATGCTTTGTGACAATGTAGGCTACATGCAGCATGGCTTAAGACTGGCCTGGTTTCATCCCAGTGGGACACACAGCCTATCCCTCTGAAATGTTGACTTTACACAAAAGTGACAAAGAGAACAATGGTTTCCTTATTTCCTCCACAGGTATCGCATTGAAGTCAGGTGTAAAAAAAAAAGCCTCAATGTCGCACTGATATAAGAGATGAACGGCTTATTGAGAAAGTGAAATGAAAAGCAAGACAAAATCATGAGACACAGGATCGTTTTAATGTTTTATACATTCCTCACCTGGCTGAGAAGATGATAGACAATAATGAAGTGTACAATGTTTCCGTCTGCTGTTGTCTAATGTCGAAGCAAACACAGGAGCATTGGAGATTAGAGTTTGCTGTACATCCTTAACAGAAAGTCTGGTGGCTATTTGGTTTGTTTGATTAATTAAAGTAGAATCAAGGGATATGAGGCCCTAGTGACTTTGGGGACAACCTGGGTCTCAACTGAAGCCTTCAATACAAGCCAGTCAGCACTTTCTAATCTGCATTTCACTGATATTTATGATCCCAGATATCTCCTGGACAATAAATAAATAATGATGTAAATGATGGAGAGCAAAGAAATCCTCCTTCAGAGGAGAAGACCTCATGTTGAAGATGTCACACGTTACCTCTCTGAGCTGAGTGGAGGTCATCTGCTTTAGACTAAACTTAAAATAAACACACAATCAAGTGGTCTGAAAACAATTTATGAAAAAGTAAAATGAGCTGTTTTTGATGTCCAGACACTGATCCATCTGGCTGTGCGGTGCTGTATGTTGGTTGAATATTAACAGATATCATATTTTGTATCTTGAAATGAAAAAAGAACACAAAGGACTCTGGTCGTCTCTGTTCCCCTACACATCATCAAACACAATCCCAAAGACACAAGCTGGTGTCTGCAGCTCTTTGTTTGTTTAGACCTCTACACTTTAGATTTATCTAATGTATATATGCTCAGTAGCTTCCAGAATGAACATCAACATCCCAGGAGATCAGTCGACCAGCTGCCTCTGCTGTAAAAGGTCATAAACTTCAGTAAAAGTGTTAAAAAAGAGAGAGATCTGTATGACTTTGACCTTTAACCCTGTAACCTGACCAACCCGTCTGCATATTGGAACTGGTCACTGTTTTCATATTCCAGCATGTCCAGAGCGACCTCACAGCTCTCCTTCACCACTCGCTCTGTGTCTTCACGGTATCGCTGCAGCACGGCCAGGCACTCGTCGTGTCCGATGGACCCGAGGGCCTCCGCTGCCTCGTGTCGGACCATGGGGCTCTCCCCGGAACGCTCCAAAGCTGCACGCAGGGCGGGGACCGCTGCAGGGTGTTGCATCTGACCCAGGACGTAACCGATCTCATGACGAAACAGAGCGCCGGAGCACTGCAGGCCTGGAGAGCGAGACATGAAGAGAAGTGATTTTTAAACAAACAGTGTTCCTATCATTACGAGGGTACCTCACTAAGAAACAATATACATGTATGACGTGTGCAGTCCCTGATGCCATGATCAGTGAGATTTTGAAAGATTACACCCTGGTCAATTTTTTTTACGACATTAGAAAACCTGTTACGCTGAATATAATTTAAATAATTATAAAGTGTCAGTGTTGACATAAATTACCCCTAGAAGTAAAACAGAACGTTACAGGTCCAATCATTAAGATGTGTAGTGAGTGAAATGATAAAGGTATCTTACTATATGATCATTAAGGAAACATGCTATGTTGAAGTGCTGGCTTCTCTGACAACAATGCAGCAGTCAGTATGTCCTCCTTCAAACTTTAGATTCTGGTCCTGAATGCTCTGGATTTGTTTGGACCAGAGAAGGTAGGCGCTTTTAAGACACCCCCCACACGGCTGTTTTGGACGGCCCTCGGTTTGTCAGATATGAGAGCAGTTATCAGGTCAACAGGTGTTGCAGCGATGGAAGCGGTCAAGAGAAGTGGTTCAGATAGAAGTGATTGTACCCGACCTAAAAAGCCTCTGCATGTTTCTAATAAGCTCCACGAGCAGAAACGTGCTCAAACTAGGATCACTATTGGAGATGCTTTTGAAAAAAAAACAGACTGCTTCGACATGGTTTTTCTGAGTAAAGTACGCTATGACTTTTTTTTGCATCTACTTAGAATATTTTGAGTATCTGATGATCTGACTGGCTGTTAAATTATTTCCCAATAATTCTTAAGAGCTTTGGAACTGAAGTGTTTGAGTGCTTATGTTCAGTAAATAACTACAGGGTGAGCTATGATATCATCGTCATCATCTTCTTAAGCATCAGCAATGAGCCTTTTTTTTCATATAAATGTTTGAATACACAGAAAAAATCTAAATTTGTCACAACCTAATTGGTAGATTGAAGAAAATACTACAGTACTGTCTCTTACCGTCTCCCAGTGCTAGCACAGCCTCCTCATTGCCTAGGTTACGCAGGGCAAACATGGCACGGTAACGTTCGAACAGAGGCAGGCTCTCGTCCAACAGGATGGAGCGCAGCTCTGACACGCTCTTCCTCTCTGCTGGAGGGGCTGGGTCCACAGAGCAGTACGGGTTCTTATCTGTACACGCTTCATTCAGCTGCTTGTCTCCTCCACTCTGCAGCCACTCTATCCGTCGAACAGCCAGCTGACACGTCTCTGCCACCTGGGGGGGGGGGGTTTACATTTACAGAAGGTTCCATGATTTACACACACATTTAGTTTCCAGATTTCAGACACATGTCTTTGTTTTTGTCTCAACTCAGAGACTGAATCAAAGTCACAAGAGCAAAACCAGGGGATGGGAATAATAAAGTGCTACTGTGCATCTGGATTTATGATTGGTAATAAAGGGTTCAGGTTCAACTAAACAAAGATGTTTGCTTTAAAACACTCTCTCTGTGTTCTGTCCAAAAGGTAATCTGGATGTGTCCTGGTTTTTAAAATCAAGTTCACTTTGAGCTTTTGTCACTGTTAACACAGACTCCAGTGTGCAGGTTTGTTTCTGCAGGCAAACACAGAGAGCCGCAGAGTATGTAGACAAGTCACACTTTCATTTTTTTGAAGTAGGCCTCGTTATGAAGCCGTTTTGTGGGAGATACTGAGTGCATCTCTTCTAGATGTGGAGATCTCATGTGCCTACCTCTGTGACGGGATCCTTACTGTACTCTCTCAGGAGGTCTAGAACCACAGCATCACCGATGGCTCCCAGTGCCTCCCCTGAAGACAAAGAGACAGAAGGATGTACAGACGTCACAAGACATTTTCACATCAGCACTACTGAAAATATCTAGATCATATCAGGAGGACTGCTCTGGATATTCTCCTGATCTGTCTGTTCAAACATGAACCTCACAGCGAGAGACTATCCATGTCAGACTGGAGGGGGGGCGGGGAAGCTAAAGAGTCCTCTATATGACTCTATAATGAGAATATGTGTATTTGTATCAATGCTACGTGTAGTTAAAGAGAATCTCAATGTAAACTGAAGAGTGGAGAAGAACATACTGGAGAACAGGAAACATGCAGCAGGAGGTTCATTAGAGCACAGAGATGGTAGAGGTGGCGTGCAGACAGTCTATGGTCGTGCAGTGATCACAGGGAATAAAGGTCACCACCCCCTCCCACTGGCTCCAGGTGAATTCTCCTGATTATATCCTGCTGTGTTCTCACATCAGATCACTCTGACTTTCTGCAGAATAAATACTCCTCGGGGTCTGACAGGAGATACTATCTGGATTTTTTTTTTTTTCAGGAGATTTCTGCAAGTGTGAAAGCCCGAATACAAAGATTCCTATTTCTTTGATTTCAGCTGTCAATTGTAAGCGTGAACGCTGATAAACCAAAGTCAGTCAGAGTTCCAAGCTCATAGAGCTCAACTTTTTGGTAAAAGTTTGGTGATTAATAAGCACCTTGCTAGTATTCTGACCAATCAATGCATGTCATTATTCATCCATTCACACAAAGGTATTCATGCACTCATCAAGTGCCCTACAAGACCATGAGTTAACTAATGATTCAAACATTCATTCAGTGTAGGCCTTCAGGGGAAGTTAGGGGTTCAACATATTGCCCAATGATATTTCAACTTGTAGAAAGGAAGAGCCAGGGGTCAGAGTATTATGTCGACAGTGAGCTGGCTCTTTTCATTCCCCACAGTGTGTGCTGCATGTGTACCTGCTTCGTGCCTGACCATGGGTTCCTGCTGTGTGTCTTTAAGTACGGCAGTCAGAGTCGGAATGGCCCGTCTGTCCTGCATCTGTCCCAGACAGTAGGCCAGCTCGTGCTTCAGGAGGGCGGAGTCATCGCAGAACGCCTTACTGATCCACTCTACAGCTTCAGCACCTGACAGAGAGACAGACAGAGAGACAGACAGACAGGCAGACAGACAGACAGACAGACAGACAGACAGACAGACAGACAGACAGACGCACGCACGCACGCGCACACACATACACACACATTAGTTCTCGCAGCTAGCTGCGTTCTTCATCGACGCACGATCCGAGTGTATATAATCAATCAATCTATCACATTTATTTATAAAGCACATTTAAAAACAGCAACAGCTGACCAAAGTGCTGTACATGAAACAAGAGAGCAATATAGATTAAAAACAAAACAAAAATAAAAATAACAAGGCAAAACTGACACAGAAATGTTTGCCTACACACATGCACAGGATGTGCTCATCGAGGAAACGATGAGGAGAGCAGAAACAAGTAAATATGTTTTGAGACACGAGACGTCCTTTCCACATGAAACGACGTCTTTACATTTTTTTTTAAAAAGACCGATTCTCATCGTCATAAAATCAAAAGAGCAAACAGTCTGAAAATAAATGATTATGATAATGAAGGACTCGATTTTAAGACTTAAAAACAGCTTCTCTTAAATGGTTCTCTTGTCTTTAATGATTCAAAATGTTTGTTTTTTCCTCAGTGAAGTGTGAAAGTTTTACCTCCAAGGTTCCTCAGGGTGAATAAGGCTCTGAACCGCCGGGTCAGGTCCAATTTGGGGTCCACCAAAACCTTTCCTACTGCTGTCACCTGCTCGCCACTGGCCATGATGCTACACAGAGAGACAGACATTTACAGAATTATATTAACATGTTCAATTATAACTTGCTCAGAGAAAATGTACATCACCCAGTCAAAGTTACCTCACCACGTCGTTCAGAAACGTGCTGTGGTATTCTCTGACCATTACTCACTCAGTATTATTAGTATAATATAATATCATTGGTATAATATAATATCATTGGTATAATATAATATTATTGGTATAATATAATATAATTGGTATAATATTATATTATTGGTATAATATAATTGATATAATATATATATTGGTATAATATTATATTATTGGTATAATATTATATTATTGGTATAATGTAATATAATTGGTATAATATTATATTATTGGTATAATATAATAGGTATAATATTATAGGTATAATATTATATTATTGGTATAATATAATATAATTGGTATAATATTATATTATTGGTATAATACTATATTATTGGTATAATATAATATAATTGGTATAATATTATATTATTGGTATAATACTATATTATTGGTATAATGTAATATAATTGGTATAATATTATATATTGGTATAATATAATAGGTATAATATAATAGGCATAATATTATATTATTGGTATAATATAATAGGTATAATTTTATATTATTGGTATAATATAATATAATTGGTAGAATATTATATTATTGGTCTAATATTATGGTTATGACCAGTGGTGTAGTGCTGCCTGAAGAAGTAGGAATACTCTTTACTCCTTACAAGTTTTTAAAGTGTCCCGTCCAGAGGAGGATAAACGGCCTCGGTTACAAACAGTGACATATGAGTTGACCTAAAAAGTGGGCTTTTTCTTTTTATTTACACATTGTCTTTAAATTCTGCTGATGTAATGCGTTACAAAGCACTAGTGAACTCACATCTCTTCATGTGTTACAAGTTACATGACACATTGGTTTTGCAAAGTGTGATGTAGTTACATTTATAAAAACGTTATCTTATTGTATTCCCTGTTATCTTTGGAGTAATAGAAAAAAAAACAGAAAATCCCATATGAAATGCAATGTTTGAACCCTGTGGTTAAGTCATTGCACATGTAGGGGATTTAAAGGTGTTTATACTCTATGGAGTCTCCGTATGTCTGCGCACACCCTGCACTACACCACTGGTGATGACCATAGGAAATATTAAGGTTTTCACAGTTTCAGAGACATGCCAGCAGCCACATTTTGTAACGTTACCATGAAAAAGGTTTTCGTTACGTGACCAGCTGTGGTTATGAAAGGCTGACTGGACTGAAGCTGTTAGCTCCTCCAGTTAAACGTTTAGCAAAACTCGTCCAAACATTCCTCAAACCCCGTAAAACCAAAAGTTTACAGACATCAACACACGATGGAGACAAAAGCAGAACCTAGAGACGCAAAGTACCAACCTTCAGGGTTTACTCACAGTATCCAGTGTCTGGTGGTACGAGTCTGAAAACACATGGATGAGCTTAATTTTTTTTCCACTTCCGCTTGGATGACGCGTTTCCGAGATATTTTATCAAAATAAAAGTATTTCTACTTTTTCAACGGTGAATTTATTTTAAATAACCATTGTTCAACAAATCAGTAAAACATACAGGTGCACGGGATATTCTTTCAAATCTACACTAAATCAACTTTGGAAGGACATAGATAGACTAAATAGCATAGGGTCTGTATGTAGCAACCCCAGGACTCGAACACATATTTTTTAAAACTCCTTACCTAATTAAATAAGTTGCTATTTATTTTGTATGACCAGTCAAATTAACATGAATTAAAGCATCCTTTAAGTATTTATTTATATACTTTATTTTTATTTAATGTATTTCTCCCTTTGTGTTCTGTGCACTTATATGTATTTTGTTTATCCGTCTGTTATGTGCATATATGTATGTATGTGACTGATGTCCAGTCTGTTTTATTATGAAATAAAAATTACAAAAAAGAAATGAAAAATATCAAAATGGATGACCTCGAAACCCTGCTTTCACCGTTTTCTTATTGAAGTAAAACAGTACTGCACCTCAGCTGTATGTTGAAAGAAATTAACTTTGTTTGAGCAAAAACAAACAATGAACTGAATTAAGGAAATCGGACTCCCTGCTGGCCTGTTCCTGAGTTTGTTATATATCTATATAATTGTATATGGAATGTTTGTGACTGTAATAAGACCGTTTGTAATACCTCCTTGGTGTAAATAATAAAAAATAAACCAAACACTGAAGGGAAACATGTAAAGTTGCATTTCCACGCCTAACCACCGCGTGGCGCTGTAGACAAATCAGACGGCTACTTTCTGCGCCGCTGTACTTCCGGTGTCAGTTATAGGACGGTGAATGTATTCATTGGACTGATTTATAAACCATTTCAAGGCACAGAAAATAATTTAAGGGATCTCGGGATTAACTATTAACGTCCAGCGGGTTCGCTGTAACTGTGACGTCAGACATGGACATCCCAAACGCCCCCGAAGGTGAGCCGAGCTTCATTCAACGTTAGATAGCACACATGCTAACTTAAGCTTCTGCTAACATAGCCGCTGCGCTTAGCATTAACTTTAGTGATGCCGGGGGCTAATTGTCCTTCTAAAACGATCATTAGACACATTTGTAACTTAGCAATATGAAAAGGGATGTTATAACAAAATTGTAACAAGCATTTAGTTTATTTATACTACAACAATTTACGTGGTTATTCGTTAGTTCTTGTCCCAGCTTCAAACTGTTTATTTATCTGTAAATAATACACGATTTTATAAGATAAGATAATCCTTTATTATTATATCTTTACTTCTGACCACCTTGTTAACAAAAAAGTCTGTAACTTGCATTATTAAAAATATCAGTTTGAACCAGTTTTCTAAGATAAAACAGTGTTTGATAATCCAAACATGGATCGTAACCTGAAATTACTTTATTCAATTCAAACAACATAAACAGAGTTTCAGGGTGAATATATATGTTCTTATGTCTATGTTGCTTCATATTTGAGTTTCACGCATTTTCATTTTGAATCATGTTCTTGTTTTGTTTAATACAAGCACCTTTTATGTCATGTTAAAATGGAAAAGTGTAATAAAACAGTCTACTTTTCAAAAATATAATTTATTCTTTGTTCCTTTACTGGAATGTAATGATAGTTAAAGTAGCGATGAACCGATCCACTTTTTTTCATTTCAGAAACTGATTCCGATATTTTTACATCAAAACTAATATTGTTATTGGTAGTGTGTGTGAGGCTACACAGAGCTGACTCAGCATGCATACATTTGATCCGATCTGATCTTTGTGTCTTTGCTCTTCTCTCCTGTTGCAGATCAAGAGCTGAGGAATGTCATCGACAAGCTGGCCCAGTTTGTAGCTCGGAATGGGCCAGAGTTTGAGAAGATGACTATGGAGAAACAGAAGGACAACCCTAAATTCTCCTTCCTCTTTGGGGGGGACTACTTCAGCTACTACAGATGCAAGCTTGCTATGGAGCAACAGCAGCGTATGTAGTTAAAGGGACAGTCCACCATTAAACCATTTGCACTTAGAGTTTGATATGCTGTTGAAATATTCAGTTCTTCCAGTTTTCAAGATACTTCCTGTCATGAAAGACCTGAAATAAATGTTAATTAATTAAACAAATTCTCCTAAAATGATACTTTTAAAGTAGTATGAAGATAAGTGTTAAACATTTAAACAATCATATTAAATGAATGAAGTCGAGACCGTTTTACTTCCTGGAAGAAACTGATAGATCTCTAACGTCATATTGATCATGCGTACTCTGGTTTCAGGGTGGATGTTTTTGTGTTTATAGGAATGCAAAGCATGTCTTAGTGAAAACATAAACTGTACCCGGTCACCCTTACATGTTTTGATTGTCCTTGTTTTCCAGCTCACATTAGCTCCGCCCCTAAGGTAGTGTTTTAGTACTCGAAGTCGGTCTTGGTCTCAAGTTAGAGACTGGTTAGTTAGAGATGAGGTCCTGTCGTTGTGTTTTAGGTCATCCTTGCTGATAGTAATTATTATCTGCACACAATGAGATGTGGGTGCTCGTGTGTACCCGTGATGATAGACAACCACGTTTGTGTGCTTAAGAGGATTTAAAACATTTATTTAATTTATTTGATTTATTCAAACATCTGGGCTAAAAAATGTTGTTTAGGTGTTAAAACAAGAAATACCATTTCATTTTAGCACACAAGAAGTCTGTGTTTAACATCGACATTAAAAATACGAAGCTGTGTTTATGGGCTCAGCCAGGGGAAATGATGTGTTTATGAACTTGAGTTTGTTGTAATGTAAATACCAGTCAAGTATTTTCTACAAGTTTTACAATTGTAGTGTTCCTTAAACAGTGCTTCATTTTAGACTTTTAGTTTAAAATTAATTTAACCTCAGCCAACACTAATTATTGTCCTTGTTTACATCACATGATGTAAACAGTGAAAAGCCCCTTCAGGTGTTTTGTTGAGATGTCAGATATGTAAAGTTAGCATTAGCAGCCTGTTCATATTTGTAAGCTAGTTTTAATTAACTCACCATTAAGCGGGCCTCTGTGTGGCTCAGGAAGGGGCATGATAAATCTGGCCATTTTGGGAAACCAGCAGATCATGTTTCACACTCATTGGCTAAACCCTTTAAAAAGAGTCATGGACCAACATTCATGTATTATCTTCAATGTACTTCTTTTTTAATGACTCAAATTCAACAGTCAATGTCGACCTGACTCAATGTGTCAGTGCAACAAGTAAACAAAAAAAAAAAACATATTTTACCACAGCAACGTTATGGGACTTATATATGTGAGTGTTTAGCTCACGTGCTCATTGTACAGAGGCTCCTCCATGTGGGCGCCCTGTATCCAGTCCGACCTATGGCTCCTTTTTCGCCTGTCATTCCTCACTCTCTCTCCCCCCACCCCGGTCTACTGTCCTGTCTCTGTAATAAAGGCATAATAAATATAAATATAATGAAAGACAAGGTACTGCACTGGGGCTAACGATGTTCAGATGATGGTCAGCGTGGTCATTGTATTACCTGTGTAATAATAACAATGATCAGCCAGGTTGCATGGAGCTGGTCTGTCAGAATCAGTCATGTTGTATCCCTGAAATGCATTAAAGTTTGCTTTTCCTCCATTTAGATCCCTCTACCCACGATGGGGAGGAATATAATTCTGAAGGTATTTATTGGAGCCAGATTTTTCCAGTTGGAACGTCCCATTTTGTTTTTGCATATTTTGCTAGATTTGATGCAACCTGTGCTTGAAAGCATTCGCTTTGCATTTTACATGTCACTAATATGTTCTTCTTGTATTTGTGATGTTTTGTTGTTATGAAGCTTCAGAAGATATCTGTCATATCTTCAAGATGGTGCAGATCAAAATGGGCTTAATCCTCCTTTTTTACACTTTCAGATACGCTCAGACAAACAGAAGAAGGAGCGTGATGAGTTGTATTTGAGGGAGATGCTGTTTCATTTGTTTTTCTCAATTCTTTGATTTAGGATTGAGGGCAGGTGTGGTTTCAACATGTAACAACACTAGTTTCACACAGTTATATACTGGCAGCAGTCAGGGCTAAACATAGACTGTAAATATTAGTGACGTCAGCCATCTGTTCCTGCAGGGGGCTCCGGAGGCTCATCAGCCACCATGTTGGAAATGCTGTCTCAGCCTAACTTTCAGTCAAACTTACGATAGACTGAGAGCTGGAGCTGAGGTGGGTTTTAAGCCTCCTGACAAACTGTCAATCATGTCAGCTACGCGCCTAATTATGGGAAAAAAAGTATTGTTTTCAAAATCAAAACAGAGCCGTTTAAAAATATTCACCGCTGTACAGTGTGTGCCAGTGATGACTAATCAGACTTATTTTGATTTTTGTACTAGGCTGTAAACATGTTTATTTATGCTGTTTTTGCCTGTGACTTGTATGTGACTTCCTGTGTTCCTGGAGTCAGCCTCGAGTGGACACTCAATGATCTGCAGGATTTGACACTTCCTCATTGGCTTCATTTTTCAACACCAGAGGTTGATGCTTGGGGCTAACACTTTCTGTGGAGTTGTTCACACTGCTGGGCAGGTGGTGTGAACATCCTGTTTCGATGTGTTGTGAATATTTCTAATGCTTCTCTTGGATAATCCAAAGAGATCAAACACCAAGATATCACCGCATTACTCATGACAGTCATATGATGATGAGGTTTTTAAGTGTGGTTGGACAGGGATATGAATGTTTTCTGAGAAGTCACATCTTGCCGTTAAAGTCCTACAAAGCTGATTTTATTTTGTGTTATTGGCAACATTTCTGTCAAACATGCCGCCTAAATTTCAAATTCATGGAGTCAGTATTTTGCTGAGGACGAGGAGACATTTTTGTAAACTTTCTTTCAACACATATGACACAAACAGCGCAGCGCTGTGTTGCTCAAGGGACACTCCAGTAGGAAGCATTAGATTCAGGCTGATGTTGTTGCTGACGCTTGCTCGCGTTGGTGCTGCTAGGACAGGCTGT